TTAATTTTTTATCTTTAAAATATATCAATGTACACATTAAAATACACTTATAACTTTTTTTAAAAAAATTTATTTATTTTACTTTAGATGCGTACAATATCTGGCATTTCTCCCCATGTTATCCCTCTCCACCCCCCCCCCCCCCCCCCCCCCCCCTTCTTTCTCCCGCCCCCCCCCCCCCCGCACTGTCTCCTGTGTGTGATGCTCCTCTGCCTGAGTCCACATGTTCTCATTGTTCAACCATACGGTGCTTGGCTTTCTATTCTTGGGTCAGTTTGCTGAGAATGATGGTTTCCAGATTCATCCATGTCCCTACAAAGAACATGAACTCATCGTTTTTTATGGCTGCGTAGTATTCCATGGTGTCTATGTACCACATTTTCTTTGTCCAGTCTATCATTGATGGGCATTTAGGTTGGTTCCAGGTCTTTGCTTTTGTATACAGGGCTGCAACGAACATACGCATGCATGTGTCTTTATAGTAGAACAATTTATAGTTCTTTGGGTATACACCCAATAGTGGGACTGCTGAGTCAAATGGAATTTCTATTTCTAGATCCTTGAGAAATTGCCACACTGTCTTCCACAATGGTTGAACTAATTTACACTCCCACCAACTGTGTAAGAGTGTTCCTATTTCTCCACATCCTCTCCAGCATCTGCTGTCTTCAGATTTTTTAATGATCGTGATTCTAACTGGCGTGAGATGATATCTGTGTGGTTTTGATCTGCATTTCTCTAATGACCAGCGATGATGAGCATTTTTTCATGTTTGTTGGCCTCATATATGTCCTCTTTTGAAAAGTGTCTGTTCATATCCTTCACCCACTTTTGAATGGGGTTTGTTTTGTTCTTGTAAATCTGTTTTAGTTCTTAGATTCTGGGTATTAGCCCTTTGTCAGATGGGTAGATTGCAAAATTTTTTCCCATTCTGTTGGTTGCCGATTCACTCTAATGATTGTTTCTTTTGCTGGACAGGAGCTCTGGAGTTTAATTAGATCCCATTTGTGTATCCTGGCTTTTATTGCCATTGCTTTTGGTGTTTTAGTCATAAAGTCCTTGCATATGCCTATGTCCTGGATGGTTTTGCCTACATTTTCTTCTAGTGTTTTTATGGTGTTAGGTTTTATGTTTAAATCGTTGATCCATCTGGAGTTAATTTTATTGTAAGGTGACAGACAGGTAGCGGTCCAGTTTCTGCTTTCTGCATATTGCTAGCCAGTTTTCCCAACACCGTTTATTAAACATGGAGTCCTTTCCCCATTGCTTGTTTTTGCTGGGTTGTTGTTAATCTTTCCTAATTAGGACAGCCAACCCATTTTCAACAAAGGTGCCAAGAAGATACATTAGGGTAAGCACAGTCTCTTCAACAAATGGTAAAACTGTATATCCATAAGCAGAACAATGAAAGACCCCCTATCTCTCACCATATACAAAAATCAAATCAAAATGGATTAAAGACTTAAATCTAAGACCCGAATCTATGAAACTACTAGAAGAAAGCATTGGGGCAACATTCCAGGACACTGGTCTAGGCAAAGATTTCTTGAGTAGGACCTCAAAAGAATAGGCAACCACAGCAAAAATGGGCAATGGACAAAAATGGGGTCCCATCAAGCTAAAAAGCTTCTGCACAGCAAGGTAAACAATCAGCATGAAGAGTCACACACAGGTTGGGAGAAAATATGTGCAAACTACCTCTTGACGAGGGATTAACAACCAGAATTCATAAGGGACACAAACAACTCAATGGAATAAAAGCAAATAATATGATTTAAAAATGAGCAAAAGATCTGAATAGACATTTTCAAATGAAGACATGGAAATGGCCAACAGGTCTATGAAAAAATGCTTAACGTCACTAAGCATTATAGAAATGCAAATAAAAACTATAATACCATCTCATCCCAGTTAGAATGGCTATTATCAAAAAGCATTAAGATAGGTATTGGCAAGAATGTAGAGAAAAGAGAACTCATATGCTGTTGGTGGGAATGTAAATTAGTACAGCCATTATGGGTTCTTCAATAAACAAAAATAGAAATGCAATATGATCTAGCAATTCCAGTACTGGGTATATAGCTAAAAAAATAAATAAATAAATAAAGGAAATCTGTATTATTGAAGACATATCTGCACACCCACATTTACTGTAGCACAATTCATAATAGCCAAAATATGGAAACAACCTAAGTGCCCATCAATGAATTTATGGATAAAGAAAACATGGTACATATGCATGATGAAATGTTATATATGTTTTATTTGAGAGGTTAAAGGACACTGGTAATAAAATACAAAAGAGAAAAAAAAAAGCAGCCCAATAAAATATGTGCTATTAAGCAAGATACCACATTCCGGCAACCTGGGTTTAATCCTACTGGGAAATTCTGAGACTGAAGTATAGAATACATACCATACCTCAGAGTCATCCCACTTGAAATGCTGCATCAATTACTGCTTCAGAGTGGCTCACTGGGAATAATTAATTCCCAGGACTTGTGTGTAGGCAGTGCTTGCTTCACAGTCAGAGGAAAACCCACAAGGACGAAATACAGACACTGCCCGGTAGAAGCCAGTGTGGCACACTATGAAACAAAAGGCCTGAGAGTATTTAGATCAGGCACCCTGCAGCATCTGCTATGTCTATGAACCCAACAACCATCTTAATACCTAGAATGTTTATATTTATACTGCATATAACTATGTTTTCCTTCCATATTCTGTCTCCCTGCTTCTACCAGGCAACAACTGCTACCAAATTATTTATAATTCTCTTTCTTCTTTAATAGTTTTTTGTATATAATTTTTGTATGAAAATATATCATTATTTCCCTTAATAACTATTTAAAATGGTACCATAAAATATGCAATCTTCTGTAACTTGCTTTTTCCTATTCTATGTTTCTAATATTCATCCATATATATACTGTAGTAGTTTAAGCTTTACTGGTGTATTATGTTCAATATGTAAATATACCACAGTTTATCCAATCTCCTGTGGATAAGTATTTGGTTTATTACCAGCTTTCTGGTTTTAGGAACATTCTTATACTATATATAACTCCTGATGCTTGTGTGCAAAATTTCTCTAGGCAGGGGTATACACCTAAAGTTGAATTGATGAGTAATAGGGTATATGATTGTTCAAATTTACAAAATAATGTCAAATTGTTTTTCAAAGTGGTTAAACCAATATACACTCTAGCCTAGAGTGCGTAAGTGTGTCCTTTGCAAAAAGACATGAGGAGACTTTTTGGGGTGATTGAAACATGTATCTTGATTACAGAGGTTACATGAGTGTGTGTGCTTATGTATATATGTGTTTATGTATATATGTGTGTGTATATATATATATGTGTGTATGTGTATATAAATATACACATAGTAACAAAACATCACACTGTACAATTAACATTAATAAATGAGTTCACATATTATCTCAATAAAGTTAGGGTTATGAACAAATTTTTGCACATTGGCTAGAAAGTGATTAAGACTGAATAAGACTGAATTATATTTAAAGAATATATAAATCTTACACAGTGTACATCATTATATTTGTAATTCAAAAAATCTGTAAATCAACCCACAAGTATCCTGACTAAAATCCCTTTCACACAGTACACATTATGTTTTGGCCACTTTTATATTTTCCTGCTTCTGCTTTGTATTCCCAAATTAAAAGACTGGTCAGCCTTTGCCTTAGTTTCTATGTGAAATCTGAGTCCAGTTGTTGCTGTTCCACCTCATTCCAACCAGATTTCCACTCAAGACTGGACCTTTATTCCATTACCCTATGCTGTAACTTGATTCATACCATCCATGTACAGAACCTCTATCCGGCTTACCTGACTACTAGTCATCTGAATTTTCTGTCTTTAGGGCTTTGTCATCTCCAGTGGACTTGCTGTTATTAATTGATGCCTTAAGCTTGAGCTTGTTATGCCCCTTTTAATTCTAACTAAACTATGCATTTATTCCTCTAGAGACCATTCCCATTATTGCTGCTCTTAATAGATGGTGGCTGCCACCTGAAGGATATTTAGAAACAGCACTCACTTCCCAAGATTCTAATATGGCACCATGGGGAAGGACTTGCCTCTTCTACTTCAGCTAAGTATCATTGCCATAGTAAGCCTGTTACTGATAGTTATTGCTTAGGTATTGGAGAAAACGTTCAAACTAGTATTACCTTAGCTTTTACTGTATACCCCACCCTAGAGATCTATGTTCCCACAGTGGCTCTGCACGTCTAAGCCAAACTTTCATAGTTTTCTAATCATACTCAAACTCTCAAATTTTGGTGAATTTATGGAAAGAATTTAATATCTAATAAAAATTAAGAAAGGAAAATCTCTATTGCCACCACTGATCTTCTTTGAGAACTAAGGAAAAGACTTGCAGTTTTTATAAAACAGGAATAAGAAAAATCACTTACTATTTTTATAGGCCAATGTGTGCAATCATTAAACTTATTTTAACATCTACTTTCCAACATCACTACTTATCATAAGAACTATTTTTCAAAACAGGAATGCATCATGAATCAAACACTATGAAATAATCCAAGTCTTAAAAACATAACTACTTTGTGTTACTATAATGATGCAGGTATCCCAGACCACAGCTTGGTAACCCATCTCCTGAAAACAATCTAGCAGCAAACAGCTTTGCAGAATGTCATCTTCATAACACTGCCTCAAGCTGGAGTGACAATTTAACAAAGAGAATTAACCTTAACTTCTATACACTCTGAAAAGAGTGAAATTTGTGGCAAAACATTAACAGTCATATCTTGATCTTACTATAAATTTTCTATAATATACCAGAAAATAACAGTGTATGCTTAAAGAATCTGATGTTTAAAGGATCTGATGTTTAAATGATGCTATTATTTAATGACATTTTAAAGGCCAGATGACAGTAAAAAACTGAAATTTGAATATCAAAAAGTGGCAATAATTTTAATATCTAAAAATATAGGGAAATATTCTTACCTGCTTTAGTCCATAATAGTCAGCAATGCTGCTGATCAGCTCTGACATTGCCTGAACTTCATGAGATTTCTTCATATTCATAAACTCAACTGCCTTCAGAGTTTTGCCTAATGAAAATAAAAGTAAAATGCTGCTATTAAAGAATCGAAATTTAGTAGGAATTATCAGTTGATATTCATATTTTTTGAATTAAGTATGAAAATAATATAGAGATTCTACTGTGGTTTCTGGATGATACACCTCCACTAGGTTGGCCACTATAAATCAAATTTGAATTAATAAAGTAAATATAAAAATTCATAGAACATTAAAGGTATTCCTTAACAATTAACTATAATGAAAAAGACTGGTAAATTGGACTACAAAGGATATTTTTCATCAAAAGACAACATTATGAGAGTAAAAAGGCAAGTCTCAAATGGGAGAAGATAATTCCAACACATATACATCCAGAGAATTTATACCTAAGAATAAAATAAAACAAACTCCTACAAATCAATATGAAAAGAATCACCCAATAGAAAAGTGAGGAAAAAAACTTAGTCATTTCATTACCTGTGCTGTCTAATATAGGAGCTACTTAACCACATGTGATTATTGCAATTTATACTTAAATCAAATAAAATTGAAAATTAAGATTCTATGCTACACTAGCCACAGGTGAAGTACTTAACAGCCACATGTGGCTAGTTTCTACTGTACTGAGCAGCACAAGCACAGAACATTTCCATCATTGCAGAACTCTAAGAACTGTACTTCGGAGTATAATACTGTAAGCTACACATTATAAAGTACATTAAAATGGCCAAAGAGCATATGACAAGGTAGTCAACATCAACAGTCATGTGGGAGTTGGGTGGTAGGGAACTGAAAAGTAGGGCTGGAATGGTTATTACGGCATGAAAATGTTCACATTTGTGAATGCTTTGGTATAAGCTTAACCTGGGATCACCACATTGGAATACTGGATTTTAATGAGGTCTTTCCAGATATGCGTGCTGGTTACTCAAGTAATACTTTCTTGGCAACATTCTGAAGGCACTTTAGGACATGGTCTCCAACAGAGACTTCTTAATTCAACAATGTCATTCTGCTGGCAGATACTAAACTAGTAAACAAATATGCTGATTACTACAGGATGGGGAATATAGTCCCTCCTCTCTCACCTATCACCAGCATGCATCTCTACATGGCTAAGTCAATTCTTTCTTATACTGGACACAACAGAGTGCATCCCGACCTTGAATGGTGGTTTTGCTGTTTGTTCTTGCCTAGGATACAACATCTTTACTCACTTTGATGCTCAAAATGTGGCCCTTAAACTTTACAAATTGGGGGAGGGGCCAAGGATGAAACCCTTGACACAGAGGTACACTCATTTATTGCCAGTCAGCAGCATATGGGATAGAGAGTTCTCCTTAGAGCTATCCTTGCCAGTCAACTACAGTTCCCATAGTAATGTTGCTGGTGAATTCATGTGCAGCTCTAATGGCTCTTACCAAGAGCCATAATTCACCAAAGAGTCCCTCTCTTGTTCCAGGGAGAACTATGAAATAATTTTGTTTAAAGTGGTTAGAGAGATTTAAAAATAAAAATTAAAAAAAAAAAAAAAGGAAGTTAAAATAATAAAAGAATTGAATTCAAAGATAAAAGGGTCATTTCACAGTGGGGAACTCTAATAGATCCACCTTTACCAAGTGAGTAAACTTAGTATCACCAATGATGTGACAAAATTATATGTGCTTCCTAATCTGGTATCTGAAAAAGGAATCACTTAAATAGTATTCCTATCAAAAATGCATAACTTAAATCTAATCATGGAGAAACAATAAAATAAACCTGCCTATAGGTATCAAAAGTATTGGTGTCAGGAAAAACAAAAGCAAGGGTAAGAAACTATTTCAGATTGAAGAGACTCAACAGACATGACAGCTGAATGTCAGGTATGAACTTAGTCTGACTCCTGTATGAAGAAAAAAAAGGCTATAAAAGATATTCTTGGAAAAATTTAAAAAACTTGAATACAGACTGTTTATTAGACAATACTGCTCTAACAATGTTAAACTCCTGACGGTGCTAATAAACTATGGGCTATGTAGGAGAATGCTCTTTTTCTTTTGAGATACAGAGTGACGTATCAGAGAGTAAAGTGCTATGATATCTACAACCTATATTCAAAAGATTCAGAAAAAGAGGAGAGAGAGAGACAGAGTGTGTGTGTGTGTGTGTGTGTGTGTGTGTGTGTAGAAAAGAACTATAACAAATGTGGCAAAATGTGAACACATGGTGAATCTAGGTGAAAAGTATACAGGGTCTATTGTACTATTCTTACTACTTTTCTGTAGATTTGGAAGTTTTCAAAATAAAAAGGTAGGGAAACAATGAGGATCAAATGTGATAAAAGATATGAAAGAGGTTTGTATAAGATAAAATAGTCTGAGATTTTTTTTTTTAACCACAGCCTTCTTTCTGATCTCTGCCTTTTAATTGGGATATAAAATCAATTTACATTGAATATAATTATTGATATGGCTGAGTTTTAATCTACCACAATACCATATTTGTTTTTTTAATTTGTACCATCCCCACTTTCTGACACTCATGCTTCTCCCCACATCCCCAAATGTCACCTTCCACTCTTCCCACCCTCTTCCCATAGAGACCATTAGCCTGCTGTAACAAAAATAATGAAGATTTTGGACTTAGCAGTAGCTCACTATGATCTGTGTTTGAGGGGCAGAAGCTATCTGAAGTAAAGGGTTAATGTAGAAAAAAATGTGGAGATCTATAGTTGTTCTGTTTAATATAGTACAAGGGAAAACTTACTCTTCTAAACAAAAGCTGATTTGTCAGAGCTTATAAATTAAAGTTTAACAATAAATTAATATTTTGGAAATATACACATATATGAACAAACTATTGCTTCTAACTACTTAACAGGCACACTCACACACACATAAATTGACATACCGATTCTCTGGTTTTGATTTCCTTGAAGGGCTACCAGCAACTGCTCAAAAGGAGTACATATTCCCAAGTTTTGTACAGAATAGTATTTCGCAGCCAGAGCAAAGGCTTCCACACTCATCAGCTTCTGAGAAGTTTCACAAAATATTTTGGGAAAATCAATCATACCTAAAAAAGTGAAGATAAAAAAAAGTCTTCAGCATTAATTAATGGTTAATTTGTGTGATATTAATAAACAGCAAATGAACACCACTTAATTTTATAACCAATTCCAATACTTTCATCTTGTTGTGAATTTTGGCAATATATCTAATGGCTCCATTTATATTTAGTATTTAAACAATTAGCTATATGGAACACCAGCTTTCTGTTAATATTTTATGCATTAAAAATTTAAACTCCAAATTACAGTCAGGCCTTTTTTTATGGAAAGAAAGAAACAGAGACAGAAGCAGAGAGAGAAAGGAAGGAAGGAAGGAAGGAAGGGAGGGAGGGAGGGAGGGAGGGAGGGAGGGAGGACGCGAGGAAGGGAGGACAGGAGGAAGAGAGGAAGGGAGGAAGAGAGGGAGGGAGGGAAGAGGGGAGGGGAGGGGAGCAGAAGGGAGGGGAGGGGAGGGGAGCAGA